GCATCTTGTGTCAACCTCGAATCTGTCTTTGGGGAGAAGTTCTTGGAGTTTGTCATTTACACTCTCTTTGCAGACTGCAACAGAAAGTGACTACGCTTTTGTATAGACACCTACTTTCCCAGATCGTGATAGACTTTATATTTGTAATAATATTTTGTCTTTTGCACTACCTTGCATCTCAGCAGGGCAGAACACTTTGAAAACATTTAATTAAGCCTTATGACGTCCCTCCAAGTTTGTCAGATAAGTGTTTATAATGGCATCAGGTATTTAAAATGGTTTACAGACACAAAAACTGATCATTTGGGGTGACAGAAGTCAGAGAGTCTAGCCCTTGGCTTCATTTACAGGTGGACAGAAGGGTATAAGACTATTCTCAGTCTCTAAGAGGCTGTGGACAACCACAGTGTCCACAAGGTAGAAGGTGTTCTGTTCTGGTGTCCAGAATGAAATCCTAAAACAGAACAGCCCTCACCCAAATGAGCCAGAAAAGCTGGCCATGTAGCTGGAAGCTAGCACATTACCTGCAATTCTCAGACTTCCCCTGGGCTGCCATAATCTCTTGCCACAGCACCTGTCTTGATAAATTACAAAGACACGTGCATCCTCAGACAAGTGGATGGAGAAAATAAAAACAAGGAAGCTGACACTAAGACCCTATACATGGTAATCCACTGCCTTGAAGAGGTGGAATAAGAGAGACACAGGACTTGTCTGCTTACACTGAGGTTCTAAATATCTTAGGCTGATATCTCTAGGTTTATTTGCTGTATTCCATTGTCATGATGTTGGAGTTGGCAGTTTGGTAGATGGCAAAGCATCTCCTGCCTGATGCTCAACAGCCTTTTCTCCAAGCCTGAGCCAGGCCAGACTTCAAACATGCTAGCCAGGACCACCTCTCCATCATGTACTTTGTTACCCAGTCTTTCAAAATGTGGCAGTATTTTTCCTGCCATGTAGACATGCTGCTGTAAGGTAGGGCATACCTCAAATTACTAAAATTTTGTACAGATACCAACGAGCTAAATGTTACCTGAATGCTGTATTTAGATAAACAAAGAACTCCCACCATGAGACAATCCTTTAATTGGCATCGTCTTAATTCCTCTGTCTCAGCTTTCCTACCTAACCAGCCACACAGAAGTGTCTGAAGGAAATCTCAGATATTCACAGATCTTTGGGTGCCCTACATACTGCTACACACATACCGACTGCCCAGACTATCTAAGCATCTTGCTTATTTCTTTTTGTTTGTTTGTTTTTGTTAAAGTCCTGATTGGAGTAAGAGAAGAAGGAACAAGACCAAAGGACAGAGGGGAAAGGAACACCTGCCAGGTAAATATAAGTCATATATATGCATCCATCTGAGCCAAGCAGGGTGAGAAATTTGCTAAATCATTTAATCCATCTCTTCTAAGCCTTCTGTACGCATACACAATTGGGACATTCTAGTCAATCACTATTAAACAGATTTAAATATCTCTTAGATAAGATATCTCTTAGATAAATATCTCTTAGAAAGAGATCACTGCAGGATTTGGCATATCTTAGGGTTCCTTTTTTCTCTTACTATAGAGGAATGTTGTTGGGGTTATAAAATATATACCTCTGCTACAAACACGCTTGCATTAGTAGGATGCACTGCAAGTAATTTGGCTAATGTGCTGCATTTGGAAAAGATCAGCACACGCCAGGTAAAGAGACACATGAATTAGCTTTTTTCTAATTTCTTAAAAGCCCCAGTCTGCTTCATCATGTCAAGAGTTTGCAAATGTTTATGCTGGCATTTATAAATAAGATTTATCGTGGCTTGCTAAATGCAGAAGAGAAGATTACTTAAAATAACCATCAAACACTTATCATTGCCTAGCTTTTCGGAGACCAAGAGTTGTCTTTTGTGGTTTTTTGTTTGTTTGTTTTTGTTGTTGTTGTTTTTAATATATATATATATATAATTATTTATTTTTTTTTAAGTGGGACTAAGCACCTATAACACCTTTGAAGTTAAAAGCACCTAATTCAAATGTCCTTTTTAACAGTATCATGTCTGATCTTGAGGTCTCTTCCAACCTAGAAATTCTGTGATTCTGTGATTCTGTAAAGGCCCAAAATGAACTGCCTAGGATCCTGTACAAACGCTACAACTGTAACCTCTCCTCTTTTGTCACTCTGTAGTTGATTTTAATTCTTTCAATATCTTTGGGAAAAACTGTACCTGCTCAAACATGTCACTGATCAGCAATGCAGAAACTGGAATGCCTTCTGCTGGAAACGCTTGAATACACACCACCAAACATAAAATAAAGGTATAAAGAATAAATCCCTATTTCTGAAAATGTTTTGCATTTTATTACTGCGAGAAAACATAGTTCTTTTTTCTTTGTTTACTCTTGAGAAGCAACACAGGGACCCATTCTCTGGGAGAGCTCTCCGTACTGCAGAGTACAACCAACTTGAAGGTGAGGACAAACAGAAACCAGTTCCATTCCCATTTCATTGCATTTCTTGAAGCTGATTACGGGTATAGAGATGAGTAGGATGAGCTGTTCAGCAGAACACAACATTCTCTGGGAATAATTCTGAGGAAATGTAAATTGATAGGTATCCACTAACTTAAACTGGGACCAGAGGAGATGTCAAGATGTCAAGACGCTCTACAGAAGCAGCGACTCTCACCTTCCTGTGCACCTGGAAATCTCTAGGAATTGGGGGACATTTCAGACATGAGGGGAACTATGTGTAGGAATACCAACAGCAGGTTTTAGAAGACTACAGAGCAACCTGTCAAATATTATTTCTCATCACTCCCAAGTTTTAACATAACAGCGCTAAACCCTACCATGTAATTTGCCCTGGGGCAAGCAGGGAATGTCCCATCCTGCTGCCCCACCAGGGCACACCCCTGTTTCCATCTGTACAGGTCCCCTGGACTAACCACTAGTGTGAAATGATAGGACTGTGGTCATCAACAAGAGGACTAAAGCATCCAGGGAGATGCTTGAAAAGGTCTAGGAGGCAAGAAAGGAAAGGAAAATCCTCTGGACATCAGGGAACCTTTTCCCTCCCTACAATCATCCAGGGTTTTGCTGGCATCCCACCACCACTCAGTCCCTTAACATGGAAGAAGACATCATTCAGAAGGAGAAAGCACAGAATTTTTCCACAAATCAGCTAGAATCCAAAGTGTAACGCCTCTTCTCCTTGAAAATTAATTGACTTGGAGAAATGTGAGAATTTGCACTGACAAATTACAACCACCCAGAGACATTTTAATTTGCCTTTAGCTGTTGGGGGTGAAGGAGGTTGGGTTAAGAAATAAGGCAGACATGGGGACAAACAGAACTTTCAGGACATAGCCTGAAATAGGTTTCATGTAGCATATATATCCTGCAGAAGTGAAATAAATCTGAGGGACAGCAGACAGGACACAGCAACCTAACCTACCGTAGGCTCATTTTCTTTCTGCGCTATCTGTCTGAAATAGCCTTGTGAGGTTCCGATGTCATCTATCAGCTCCACCTACACACACCTCCTGGAAAGGACCTGAATAGAAATTTGTGTCCCTGTAAATTGTACGTAACTTGGTTGATAGCAGCAGCATCAGGTAGCCTCCTTGGTTTCAGGCAAAAGGAAGAGAGGCAAAGCTGAGAGAAGAAGGAGCACCATGAAGGTGTAATTGTGTTTGAGGCTGGGGCAGGGAAAGCAGAGGATGAAGTGAGTGAAAATTCATGAATACCCAAAGAGGAATGCTGGTGTGGATGTCAGGGCAAAAGTGAGCAAAGAATGGTTGGAAGGACAAGAGACAAGTCAGAGTGAAAACCATGTTTGGGAGCTGCACATGACAATTCAATGTCAATTCTCTCTTATACCTCTCTAAGTGGGCTGACAGCTTGAGGCCAGCACTGGACGCACCAGGAATCGGACCCGTTTTGCTGCATAATTGCTGGGCAAATCCCATCTGAAGGAGAGGTAGACTCCTGGGGGCATTTAAGACTTCTAGCCCTGGAGGTCTGAAAGTTTCCTTCTACTACACACACAAACCATTTTACAGATTAATACATCCATATTCAGCATTTCTAATGTCAGCTGGGGCTCCAGATCTTTTTGCACATGGTACTAAATCTGGAATCATGTCAGATATAGACAATGGAGTTATTCAGGTTCTCTCTCATACACAGAAACTGGATTTTTTTTTTTTTTTCCCTCCAGGCACCATCTGGTCAGTGCCACATGACCGAGCAAATGGTAAACCATGTTTTTGGTGATGGCAACACAGATTTCTTCCCTCACAGAACCGAAGCCTTTCTGCACTCTTTTCTCAGCCATGCCATAAATCCCTCTTCACACTAATTTATTCCACTGTGCCCTGTCAATTCATGCAAAGACAGCTTCATAAAAGAACATGCAACCACCCTTATGCTCTGCAAGGGCATAAAAAAGATTTAGTGTAAACAGCAATGAGGGATGAAGGGATAGGACCAGTAGGAAGTCTGGTCTTGTGACTAAATTAATATGACAGCCACTCCAAAACTTGTATTTTCTAGCAAAATGATGAGGTATCCTGAAAGTCTCCATGACAACACAGCCCAGCCTTGTGCTACAAGTTGCTTATGCAAGAAAGCATCTGAAAGTGTAGTGCCTGGGGTAGGTCTTCCAAAAAAATCAGGATTTCTGCTAATTCCCTCACCTTGCTTATTTGTTGTTGTTATTTTTTCATTTTCTGACATCTCAGATATTTAAAACGAAAGGAATTTTCACATGGTCTTCCCTAATTATATCACTGCTTTCTATTTTTGATTAAGAAGATATGCACAGAATTGTCAGATAAGATGAAGATCTGACACATTTTCCTTTGGTCAAAGTGCTAAAAACTTGTGGCTTAAACTTTTGTGTTTCTGGCAGAACTGTTCTGGTTGGTAGTCACCACAGGAGTGCAGAACAGTGGCAGACATCAAAATCACTTTGCTTACAGTGTACTATTGAAAATATAAACTATCAAATTTATATGGAATATACTTTATTACAAGGATTTCTTACGGAAAAAGAGGAGATGATTTTACATCATACAGGCTCTCACCCATGGTGGCATTCAGTTGCCTAAACTGAGGTGTCTGATGCCATTTGAGATACCCCAGGCTTTCCCACTGGCTTTCAGCTGCTTCTCCAGAAGAGACCAGGGTTCCTGCAGGTCTTATGTCATGTCTGCCAGCTCTGTGTGAACAACTCAGCCACCACAGCATTTAACACCAGAGTTAAGGACATGAAATAAACTGGTATCTGGCATTATCAGTGTCAATAGTCTTCACAAAAGCCAGGATTTCACCCCATAGATCTTATCTGGTGCATATTCAGAGAAGTAACAATTTTATTTTAAAAAGAAAGAAAGAAAAAATATAATCAAGTCCTTAGTTTAGACCCTATCTATAGGAAAAGCCTAGACATCTCTGATTTCAGGGTGCATTCCACTGATTTCAGTGTTACCAGGAGGTTGCACAAGGTTCACCAGTGAAAATAAAAAAGCAGTCTCCTTGCATGGGGGCTGGCTTAGTTTCCCAGTAAAGCTTCAGTTTCCACTAGCATCCCAGAAACAGAGGTTGGAGCAGAGTATTAAAAGATGTCTTATTAAGTCAACATGGGTGGAGAATTAGCCTGCAAACAAATAAGCCAAGCAGGGATTATATAAGATTTAATACAATCTTTTATCAGAGCTGAGGAGTCCCTAATTAAACTAACTATGTAAAATACTACTTAATGAGCCCATAAATAAATACCAGCAGGAGAGGTGGCAGAACTATAAAACACCTGCTGGGGAAGGTCTGATCTCCAGAGGAGAGTTAAGAAGAACAAAGCAAAGATCAGAACTGTTAGAGCACCCCAGCCCACCTCAATAATGGACATCCCTGAGGAGAAACACACAAACACTTAGGGAAACACCTACAGCCTCCTACCTTCCCTCACTAGCATCTTCATCTTTTTGGTAATTTTAGTGGAGCTTAACATTAGTAAACATTCAAAACATGCAGTAGTGCAATTGTCCTTTGAAGTCTCTCCTTTCACACATTACATTTACTCTGTTTAAACCACTGCTAACACCCCAGCAAGTTCTGCTTGGCATTGCCTTTGATTTGAAGGGTGTGTGCAATGCCTTGCCAAGTCCAGGCAACTATGATGATGCATATTTAAGGGACCATGGCAAAAGTTACCTGAGTTCCTGGCAGAAAGGAGATCATCTAGAACGAATGAACCACTAAACTCCAGTCAAGCCAGATAATTGGCATGCAAAAGACCTGGGGAGGCGAAGACTTAATGGTGAGTCAAACAAGGATATAAAATTTAGTCATTCCTGCTCCAGGGAAAGGTAGGCATCAGCTTTGCCTGGGAGCAGGGCTGGTCCTCTTACTTGTGGAACACCCCCCCACAATAAAACACAGAGTTGTAATGGCCTATTACAGATGCCACCCATGCCTCTATCCACATCCTGTTACTTTGTAAACTCTGCCAAGGCAACCACCCGGAGCAATAATCAAAGTGTCTGTCCACAACTTTTATCCCTTCTGAATATGATTCTGTCTTTCTTTCAAGACAGCGTGCCACATGGTTTTCCTAACATCTACTCCAAAAATTTCAAATAAGCCACATTTAAGAGAGAGGGGAAAAAAAAAAAAAAGCACACTCGCAAACACCCATGGCTGTATGTTTAGACCTCCCCTGTGTCTTCAGCAGTTCCCTCATCCTCAGCATTTAGACGCCGCTTGGAAGACTTTCCCTCTTTCAAACTCCATGGTGGTACTCAATAAAAACAAAGCGCCTGTGAACAACTAATTGCATTCCATTTTAGCTGGTCTTCAAGCTGCTCCACAATAATTTCTGCAGTATGACCACATACTGAAGATGCAACTTGCAGGAGCTACTTAAAGGTACGATCTCACCTGTTGCCTATAGCTTTCTAAATAGATCCCTCCTCCTTCAATGCTGTCCATCCTTTCTTAAAGGGTTGGTGTTCAACAGTAATCTTATTTTAGATCTCTTTCCAGCATGCTTTCAGAAAAGTAAACTTCATTTTCTCAGGCCTAACAGTCATACTCATCTGAACAGCTGAATCTGTTGATTGATCCAAATTAGCAAGTCCTGAGTGGAGAAGATTGCATTATGTCTTCAGATCAGCACCACTATAAGAATCCTCCTAGAATCCTCCTTTCCCCTGCTATGTGGAATAGCTTCTGCTGCTTTAGAAGGAGCAGATAGGTAGTTTTGTGTGTTTGTTTGTTTGTTGTTGTTGTTTGTTTTTAACTCGGGGAAGGGGAAAAAATAGAAAAAGAAATAGAAGTCTCCTATTAGAAATTTAATTTAATTTCTACAATAAGCATAATACATCTGTGTACAAGTCCGTAACTTACAGGAGAACTTTGCACAAGCCACTGAGCTGGAAAGCCAGGCTGGGGATCAGCAAGTAAACAAACAGATTACTCTTTTCATTTTCCCTGAATAATTTGTTTCAACAGTGGCTTTTACTACATCACGCATCATTATGGGTACTAATATATCAAGATCCTCAAGGAAACCTCAGAGGCTATCATACCAATTTCCACATCCATCACAGCAGAAATAATTTTTGGAAACTCCATACAACTTAGATTTCCCTTATTTGATTAGTAAATACCTTAAACTATCACCTTTACCTCAGATAACTGAAAAAAATATGATGGTGAGAACAGAATATAATCACCACAGGGAAGACGACACCACTAATGAAGTTACAGTCTATATGGTATTTCACTTTCTTTGCAGTTGCTTTTTAGCAGCTGATCTTGACACCTCATTCAAACAGGAGTATTCAAAGCATTTCAATTATGTGCAGAAAATAACCAAAGCCTTGCACAATAATGAACTAACGTCAAGACTGACAGACAGCTAGGAGATTTCTAGTCTCTCCTTGCAAAGACAACAATATTGACCTGTAACATCCATTTCCAACCCTAACCTATTCCAATGCAGAATACCTTTTTCTTTCTTTCTAAATCTGCTTTACTCCATCTCCATTATTTCTTAGTACAAGTAACTTACCTGTTTAAGCTAGCTCTCCCTTCTGTGTGGTAGCTTTTTAAAACAAAGATATATGCCTTAAAAAGCAGAGTATTTATAGGAGAGGCTCTGCCACAGTGAAGATTATGTTAAGTGGTGGGAAGGACTAAGATCCCAAACGTGCATACGTATTCATCTACACCCACAACATCACTGACAGCATTAGGTGAGCTTGTCTTGCTGCAAGCAGTAGCTGATGCCAAAGCACATAGTTTGTGTGTATAGTATTGAAGATTTGTTTGGTTTTGTTTCTTCTCCTGAAAGCAAGTGTGTTGTCATAAGGAGCAGAAATCCCTTTAGAGACATAGACATTTAATGCAATGATGTTTACAACAGCAGAGTGGTGGAGATAATAGCTGAATAAAATTTTACTTGAGTACTGCAGAAAACTACATTTTGCAGTAATGAGGTTTTGCTATAGTATATATCTGACCATAGTGGCTGTCAGTTTGAGTTAAAGCTGAAAAAATAATGTTCAAGTACTTTTTTCATTTCACCTTTCTTGTCTGGAACAGAGCTGTTTTGTTTTCTGTTTGCATTTCAGGCCTGATGTCTGCAAAACTGAGTCCAAAAACTGAAGGCAGTTGGAGTTATAAGTAATTAAGCCCTCTAGGAAAAAAAAAAAAAAAAAGGCTTTTTGCGTCCCTTATGATCATGTTTCATGCATTTTCATTTGCACCATGCAGCTATACCAGGGAATAAAATAAGTATTAGGCTTTCTCATTGCACCTGAATACAGAGTAGAGAGCAAGCTGCTCTGACTCTTTCCTAAAAGAACTGGAATATGCTACTATTCACCAGCTCAAGTCCTTTCTAAATCAGAAATCTGCTATATACAGACAACAATAGCAAGCACTGTGGTGTGAGGGCTGCATCCAGCCCTGAAACAAGACAACACCTGGCACAGACCCACTGGCATTAATGAGGTGATGTGCAAACATTGATGGTATCTGCTGCTTGGTTCCTGTGCAATGTGACTTTTCCTGATGCACCCTCTTTTCCCTCTATGCATGCAACTGCAGCAGCCACATGTAAGGACTTGCTATTTGTTGTGTGCCTGTTTGATCTCAGGAGCAGAGCTTTTCCTTTCAGCTCCTGACTGTGAGGGCAGGTCATACTTCTAAAGGATTAAATTTCAAACTTTTTTTGGGGAACAATTTCTCCTACCCTCTCCCTGTTATTTCTGTCCTAGCTTTTCAGGTTTAATCACATAGAAGCAGATTAGGTTTGTTTGTTTTCTGTTTGTTTGTTTTCTTCCTTCTTAGAAGCACAAGGACAGACTTCCAAGATGAACTAACCTTTTTAATATCTCCCTTCAGGGTTTCTTTTTTTTCCTTGTTATATTCTACTGGCTCATATTAGAGGGGTTTACCAGTGTGCATTTACACAGGTTAAATCAGTCTCACTTCAGTGTCTGGTAAAATTATGGAGATTATTCTGGGATTTACTGGAAAACACTTAAAGGCCAATGCTGTCATCGGTCAGGGCCAATACGGATTCACGAGGGGAGGGTCATGTCTAACAAATATTATTTCCTTCCATGATGAGATCACCCAGCCAGTTGATCAAAGGAAGCCAGTCAATGTAATCTTTCTGGATTTCAGTAAAGCCTTTGATACTGTCTCCCACAGTATCCTGCTGGACATAATGACCAGAAAACAGTCAGATAAAAGCATAATAAGATGGGTGAGCAACTGGCTGATGGGTCAGGCCCATAGAGTTTTTGTAAATGGGGTTACATCAGGCTGGTGACCCGTCACTAGTAGGATTCCTCACAGCTCCATTTCAGGACCAGTCCTCTTCAGTGTTTTTATAAATGATTTGGATGAAGGACTTTTTGAGTTTTTTGAGAAAGTTCACAGATGATACCAAATTGGGTGGAGCTATTGACACCATCGAGGATAGTGAAGTCTTTCAGAGAGATTTAGACAGGTTGGAGAGCTGAGCAATTACCAACAGTATTAAGTTTAACAAGAGCAAGTGTTGGATTCTGCACCTGCGAAGGGGCAACCCTTGCTGTACATACAGAATGGGGGATGAGATGTTGGAGAGCAGCCCTGCAGAGAGGAATCTGGGGGTTTTGGTTGACAGCAAGCTGAACACGAACCAGCAGCATGCCCTGGTAGCCAGGAGGGCCAACCATATCCTGGAGTGCATCAAGCATAACATTGCTAGTCAGTCAAGGGAAGTGACTGTCCCACTCTGCTCTGCGCTGGTGCAGCCTCACCTCGAATACTGTGTGCAGTTTGGGGCAACACAATAAGAAAGATATAAAACCATTAGAGAGTGTCCACAGGAGGGCAACAAAGATGGTGAAGGGTGTGGAGGGGAAGATGTTTGAGGAGCAACTGAGGTGCCTTGGTTTATTCAGCCCAGAGCAGAGCAGGCTGAGGGGAGGCCTCATGGCGGCCTGCAGCTCCCTCACAAGGGGAGCGGAGGGGCAGGCGCTGAGCTCTGCTCTCTGGGGACAGCAACAGGACCCGAGGGAACGGCATGGAGCTGGGACAGGGGAGGGTGAGGCTGGGGGTTAGGGAAAGGTTCTGCACCCAGAGGTGGTTGGGCACTGGGACAGGCTCTCCAAGGCACTGGTCACAGCACCGAGCCTACTGGAGTTCAAGAATTGTTTGGACAGTGCTCCCAGATATATGGTCTGATTTTTTGTGTGGTCCTTTAGGGACCCAGGAGTTGGACTCAACAAACCTTGTGGGTCTTTTCCAACTCAGTTATTCTATTATTCTATGATATCTAAACTTCATATCTACATAACTGAAGCATGGCACTTTACCTTAGATGAGATCCAGAAAAGAGCATGGAAGTGAAAGTCCCTGTTTTAGGGGGAACAACCATGCATACTTCCATCATGGGAATTTTCATGCCTATCTCAGGGGATTTTTGCTACCTCAGCAGGCCCACAGACCCACAACCTCTACTTTTGGATGAAAAAGTGTCACAAATTCTCTATATCCCATAGCTGCAGAACTGCAGTAATCTTCACCAACATAATACAAGAGCTCAAAGGAGCTGAGGGATGGGCTTTAGTTAAGGATTTCCCAGTCACACAGGAGTAGAGGCAGGAAGGAGAGAAACAGCTAAAGCATTTAGAATCATTTAGGTTGGAAAAGACCGTTAATCATCAAGTCCATCCATCAACCACACACTAACAAATCTGACACTAAACCACATCCTGAAGTGCCACATCCACATCTTTTAAATACCTCCAGGGATGGGGACTCCACCACCTCCCTGGACATCCTGTCCCAATGCTTGACAACTCTTTTTGTGAAAATAATGTTCATAATGTTCAGTCTAAACCTGTCAAAGCCTGTTGTGATGCATATTGAGGCCATTTCCTCACAACCTGCCTGCTACCTATTCATGGCTTTGGTCTGGTTAAGAGTTTTTTATTTGCTTTCTGGGGGCTGAGGACAGTGGTATGAAATGGAGGTTTGTGTCAGAGATCACCACACACACAGCCAGCCAGGACACTCGTATTTCTGCACTTGAGAAGTTTGGGGTATAATAAATCATAGTGAGCAGATTAGGCAAGATGAATGGGGCATCAAGAGCTGACATCTAAACTGGGGGGGAATTTCAGCCTTGATCTTACTCTGTCAGCAATGACACATTAGATGACCCAGAGGAGTTGGAAATATGAAGGTAATAAAGTAGCATTCAAA